AGCCAACTTTGGCTTGTTTCTCTCCCCCCCCCCTTCCGTTTTCAGCCCAGAGTCCCAAGGGGTCATTAGCGGAGCCGTGTTTCTGATCATCCTCTTCTGCTTCATCCCGGTGCCCTTTCTGAGCTGCTTTGTGGAGGAGCAGTGCAAAGCATTCCCTCACCATGAGGTAAGTCGTTGCGTCAGACAGAAATGCCAGCGGGGTGGGCTGGATGTGGCCGCTGTGGGAGCGCTAGGAGCCCTGTTTTCTCTCTGACTTGCAGTTCGTGGCCCTCATTGGTGCCCTCCTCGCCATCTGCTGCATGATCTTCCTGGGGTTCGCAGATGATGTTCTCAATTTGCGCTGGCGCCACAAGCTGCTCCTGCCAACCATGGCCTCTTTGCCCCTGCTCATGGTCTACTTCACCAACTTTGGGAACACCACGATCGTGGTGCCCAAGCCCTTCCGGATGTTCCTGGGCTTGCACATGAACCTGGGTAAGTGGCCCAGGTCTGAGCCGGGCCGTCTGCAGCCCAGATGCCCTCCGAGCTCGGCTAGCGGACCTCTAGAAAGAAAGGCGGTTGTTTGGGCCGCCTGAGGGGGCAGCGTATAGCCCTAAGCACTCTGGGCAGCGCTTGCCTCAGAAACATGGCAAGAGGCAGGCGTGCTGCAGAATAATATATGGCTCATATTTTTGAAAGAGATGGGAGTGAAAAAAACCCTGGATTTTCTCTTGCAGGCATCCTGTACTACGTTTACATGGGCATGCTGGCCGTATTCTGCACCAATGCAATTAACATTCTTGCTGGGATTAACGGTTTAGAGGCTGGGCAGTCGCTAGTGATCGCAGCCTCCATCATCACGTTCAACATGATAGAGCTCAATGGTAGGAAGGGGCAGCTACCAGGCGGCTCCTCCCCGAGCAGAATGGCCTGCAGGGCTCCAGGCCTTACAGAGGAGAAGTTGTGCAGCCACGGTAGCTGTTGGGACCGCTTGGGGTTTGTGGCCGATTCCGACTGGCTAACTTTCCTTCCTTGCTCACAGGGGATTGTCGAGATGACCACATCTTCTCCCTCTACTTCATGATTCCCTTTTTCTTTACCACACTGGGGCTGTTCTACCACAACCGGTAAGAGACTTCTTGGAATGAAAAGGCCACCCTGTACCTGTTAGGAGAGTACACGTGGGGAGGGAAGCCTCACCAAGAGTTATCCTCCTTTGAGGAGTGGTTCTTCGGCCATCACATTCAGTGGTCAGCAGCTTGACCTCTTCAGGCCTGGAGTTTCTTGGGCTGCTCCTCCTCCCACCTCTTTGTTGTGTAGTGTTTGTTTCATCCTAATGGGCTGGTCTTCTCTGGCTGAGCACAGGTACCCCTCTCGCGCATTTGTCGGTGACACATTTTGCTATTTCGCTGGCATGACCTTTGCTGTGGTGGGGATCCTCGGGCATTTCAGCAAAACAATGCTGCTCTTCTTTATCCCGCAAGTGGTCAACTTCATCTACTCGTTGCCACAGCTCTTCCACATCATTCCGTGTCCACGCCATCGGCTTCCCAGGTAATGATGTCCCACGTGTAGGCCATCTCCTGCCTGCTTCCTCTACAAGTGTTTGGCGATGGTCATCTGTTGACTGAGCACACCTGTGCTATTGACTGAAACTCTGGCTTCTGACAAGTGGACACTAGGAACTGTAGTCTTGTACAAGAGACAGATACTGCTATCAAAAATTGCATAGAACGATTGTCAACTTCACTTCCCAAAGTCCTTTGGGGGAGACGTGTGATTTAATGAAGCCTGTGGGGGTTGTCCAGATGGGCCTTTCCTCAAAACGGTGTCTTCACATAGCTGACAGCTTGTCTGCCTTGGCTGGACTCCCCCAGCCAGGGGCTGCTTGCTTGTGTGCATGCTCCTCTTCCCAGCGTAACTTCCCCCAGGGCTGTTTTCCCCACTGTGTGGCTCTCGTTGCTGACTACCCCTTGTGTCTGCCTTCAGATTCAATCCTGACACAGGGAAGCTTGAGATGAGTTATTCCCGATTCAAGTCCAAGAGCCTCTCTCCCCTGGGAACGTCCATCCTCCAGGTAACACTGCAGTAGCATACCTGGAAACTCTGGAATCAAGTAGAGGGGCTGAGATGAACTGAATGTGGCTAGAGTCATGGAGAAGGATTGTGCTGGCGCTCTTTGGGCGGATGAAAGGAAGCAATCCGAAGAACCACCTTGATGCATCTCTTGTATAATCCTAGCAAATATTTCTTCATAGGTATCTGAGAAATTCCACCTGGTTGAGGTGCATCGCGGAACGGACAAAGATGGAGAATACACAGAATGCAACAACATGACTCTCATTAACTTGGTGATCAAGATCCTAGGACCGACCCATGAAAGAACCCTGACTTCCCTGCTGCTGCTGTTACAGGTGAGGAGCACAGCTCTGGAGGAAGGGCAGGGCAAGGTGCGCGAGAGGGCGTCTGCTCAAGTGGTGCTTCCTCGCTCCTCCCCACCCCCTCCTTGTGTCTGAGGAGGCCATTGGGATTGGTGGCAACAGCTTATGAGCCATGCCTCGTCCTGTTGGAGGACAACCTTTCCTTTGGTTTCTCTTCCTCGCTGTAGGTTGTGGGGAGCATCATGGCCTTTTCCATCCGGTACCAGCTTGTCCGGCTGTTCTATGATGTCTGAGTCGTGCTTTGAGTCTCCTTCCTTGAAAACGACCTTCTTGTTGCGAGGGGGAGTTACATGCTGGCCGAAGGTGGCCTGCTGCTTTTGCTCCGAATTACAGGAGCTGCACTATTGTATGTTGCCGTCTTGCCTCTACTGACAGAAGGGGAAATGTCATGGTGGTGATGAGATTAACTTTGATTTTTTTCTCCCCTGGCCAATTATGGGGAAGACCAAACAGACCAGAAGCACATCTAAGAAGAATGGCACTTCACCTGTTGAAAAAAGTCTTGCTTTCTCAATCTTCCGGCCTTTAAGTCTTCTGCTAGCAAAGAAAACCCTAATGTATGCTCTCCTGCATGGATGTCGCTCCTGTGCTTTGACAGCCACTTGTCTGACCAGGTAACCCCTGTTGTAACTGCTTTATGGGAGAGCGTCTCTAGCAGAATCAAACCAGGTGGATCAAAGTCTCAGGGCACTTTTGGGAAGAGCCAGTGTAGGGTGGGGGGAGGGGGGGCCTCTGCTTTGTTCCTGTGCTGTTCTGTCTCTTGAAAGGACCGTTCCAGTGAGTGCAATTGTTGGGTCTCAAGACTGACTGGACAATGCTGAAACTGTGACCCAGAGGAAGGCCTGCTAACTGGAGCGCTTGAATCTGCTTAAGGTCATGCTGTGGACCTCAGGAGTGCTGTACTACTGCTCAGTTCCTTCCCGTTCAACCCCCCATGAATGTTATTGTGTGGTTCCCTTTCTGTGCCGGAACCCCTCTCTGAAGGCACACTGGCAGGTTGTCAGAGCTGTTGGGGTGGCAAAGAGGAGGCCCAGCGGTCTGTGCACTTTTGCAAATGGAAAGGGTGAGGTGGGGCAGGAAGAGGCCAGGGAGCCGTCCCCCCCCCGGGGGACTGGTGTTTTGCAGCAGCTGTCAGCTAAAAAAAGAAAGGGAAAGGGACACCCCGGTGTTCTTAAGTCTTGAGAATAAGATGAATTACTGTATAATAAAGCCATGAGTACCCGGAAGAGTGTACAGAGTCATGTTTGAAAAGAAGTTTGTGCATTGGAGGTTAAATGCTGGATTACCCACAAGACTCCCGTGGGGCTTCCTTTTGGCTGCTCTACACAAACATCCCTCAGCCATCTCCCATGTGAAATTCATCCCTTCCTACAGAGAGATGACCAAGGTGGGGAAAGGGGGAAGCTGCTCAGAAGTGTGGTCCTCTCTTCTCATGGGTGAGGACCTTTATTGTGAGCTCTGGCCAGTGTCCTCTGTGTGTGTGTGTGCGCGCGCGTATGTGGGAATTTTCTAGGTGCCCTCCCCTGCTTGCAAGACCAGTTGTGCCACAGAGCTGAGAACCAGCGCCACAACAGCGGGAAGAACGGGCACCTGGCAGGAAGGTTGTGGGGTTGTTAGGCAAGTGCCAAATAGCGGTATCCTCTCCTTAAAAAAATTATTAAAGGAAAATAACAAATCTAACTTAAAATGCACATTCAGTAAAAACTATACACAATACAAATTAAACCTTCCCCAACTGTGCCACCTTCACCCTTGGGACTAGGTAACCAGAAGTATCCTTTTACACCCCATTCCACTCCAAACATACATTGATTCTTCTGCTGTCCTATAACATTTCCCCTTCGAAAAGACCTATTCCAAGTACAAATTCCATACATCTTTACTTATTTTTGTTTCGCATGTTAGTTTATCGTTTGCGCCTCCTTCGGAGTAAGCCTCTGTGGAAGACTACCCGCGTCCTCATCCATCCAGGCTTGCGTGACTGCAAGCCTGGATTGTGTCCCTGGAGGCTTCATCCGAACTGAGCGAGCCGCTGGCGCCTGATTCTCCTCTTGCAGGGAGAGAGACCAGACCAGACTACCGGCTGCTGGCCGCGGCCCCCCTGA